GTCTTTGAACTCTAGCTTATTTGAAACATAAAATGCCTGTCTTCATCATCGTTGGGAGGATTAAGCAGAATGATGAGTGTAAAACACTCAGCACAGAACTTGGTAAGGGGCTCTATGTCAGCAGTAACATACTGACCTTTATTAACCAATGCAATGGTGCACAATTCCAGGTCTTCTTCAAAGTTTGGGAAGAGTATTTGGAATAGTTTACCAAGACACTGTGCAGTATAGAGACACCTGCTGCTCTGGCCTGCAGGTGCCACACCCAACAGTAACTGCCATCATTCCCCAAGCACACTCTGTGCCAGGCCCAGCACCAGACACAGTAAGTGCAAGAACGTGTGAGTCTCCCAACAACCTTTCTGGTTATGTTTTGGAACAGATAAGGGAAATGAGCCATGGAGCTTAAGTTATTACCTTGAGATCACCGCTAATGTGTGATGAAGCCTGGATTCAAATTCAGGTTTGTCTGACTGCAAATTCCTTGCTCTTCATCACTTATACAGAAAGTTAGCTATTGCGGTTAGTGTTGGGCACAGGTAAGTGCTTAAAGTTTGCTAAGTTTGCTGAATGAAACAATGAGAGAATAAGGTCCCATGTCCTGATTGAAGCATGGGGAAGTGCTGAGGGAAAGTTGTGGTAGGTACTGGATACCTACTGTTTTTCTTTCCAGAATAGCATTTTCCTCTCCCTGAGAAACAGGCTGGGCATGGTCGCTCATGCCTGTAATCTCAGCACTTTGGGAGGCCAAGGTGGGAGGACTGTGTGAGCCCAGGATTTTGAGAACAGCTTGGGGAACATAGCAAGACCCCGTCTGTACCAAAATTTAAAAATTAGCTGTGCCTGGTGGTGTGTGCCTGTAGTTCCAGCTACCTGGGAGGCTGATGGGGGAGGACTGCTTGAGTCTGAGAGGTCAAGGCTGCAGCAAGCTGTGATTGCACCACTGCACTCTAGCCTGGGCAACAGAGTGAAACCCTGGACCTTGTCTCAAAAAAAAGAAAAAGAAAAAAGAAAAAAAAATCAGTAATTTCCCTACCTCTGACTATTTTATTAGAATGAGAGCTATCATTTTTTTGCTTTTGGTTACAGTAATTGGCCAGGGACAGACACTTAAGTTAGACCAATCAGAGCCTTTCTCAGAATTTTAAAACTTGCAATGAGGAAGCCTAAGTCTTTTTTTGAGACAGGGTCTCGCTCTGTTGCCCAGGCTAGAGGATAATGGCATGATCGTGGCTTACTGCAGCCTCAACCTCCTGGGCTCAAGCAATTCTCCCACCTCAGCCTCCTGAGTAGCTGGGACTACAGGTGCACACCACCATGCCTGGATGATTTTGTTAATTTTTTCTTTTTTTTTTTTTTTGTAGAGATGAGGTCTCACCAGTTACCCAGGCTGGTCTCGAACTTCTGGCTCAAGTGATCCTCTGACCTCAGCCTCCAAAGTGCGGGATTACAGGTGTGGGCCACTGCACGTGGCCTTAAGTCTTAATTCTGCTCTGTATTTACAAAATATGAGCCCAGGAGCTTCTGGAGAACACACCCCCTGCCATAATGATAGAGCCTTTTTATAGCATAGAGAATAAAAATGTCCTGGCAAGATTTAAGTCATTTAAGGCCCCAGCACACCCCTGTTCTTCCAAGACTTGGATATGGAAGCCAATACATTTCCTTTTAGCCTAAGCTAGGTCAGTTGAGTTTCTGATCTAGCAAAAGAGCCCTAATGTAAGCCTGTTTCTAGAAATGCTAAGCTAGTTATTCATTCCCGCCAAGACCAACTACCACAGCAAAATAGAGTTTCACCTAAATCCCTTTCCAAAACATATCTAGACACTGGAAGAAGAGTGCTTGGCAATTAGATGATAGCAGAAAGTATTTAAGATAAACAAATGTTGAAATCTCCCTGGAAGATTTACAGGCAACCCTGGTCAAAGGAACTCAGTGGGTAGGAAAAGCTGGTGCAAAACAAATGCTCTGGGTCACCTTTTTGGAGAATTCCTTTTCTTTGTCACTGAGTGCTTGGGTTTTCTCTTGCTCAAGAAGAAAATGTGATCTTCTCTGTTCCTCTAGAACGGATTCCGTCTGATGTAGTGAGTCTCGCAAAATTTTAATTTCTCCATTCTTAATGAGAACTTCTTCTTCCATTACTTTCATCTGTAAATACCAAATTAATCTCGTGAAAACTTTGTAAGAGAAAACTACTTATGTACTTTGTTTTAACATGTAGTTGGGGAGATGGAGAAAGCACAGGAAAAACATATCCTACAGACAAATGAGTACTCAAAATATATCCACAGCAACCAGATGTCACCATGGTCTGCTAGGCCTGTTCATGGGACAGCTGATATTCATCAAGACAGCTTAAGGATACACTTGTCACTCATGCATGCAGGTTCTTTTTGCCAGGGAGGGGGATCGGGTTGCTTAGGCTGGAATGCCGTGGCACAATCATAGCTCAATGTAACCTCGAACTCCTGGGCTCAAGTGATCCTCTCACCTCAACCTATTGAGTAGTTAGGACTATAACGCATGTGCCACTAACCTGGCTAATTCTCACTTTTATTTGTAGAGACAGGGTCTCATTGTATTGCCCAGGCTGGTCTTGAACTCCTGAGTTCAAGCAATTCTCTCACCTTGGCCTCCCAAAGTGCTGGTATTACAGGCATGAGCCACCTTGCCTGGCCAGATTCCTTTTTTTTTTTTTTTTTGAGACTGAGTCTCGCTCAGTCGCCCAGGCTGGAGTGCAGTGGTGCGATCTCGGCTCACTACAAGCTCCACCTCCTGGGTTCACGCCATTCTCCTGCCTCAGCCTCCC